AAAAGTTTGGAAGCCTTTCTTGAGTTCTTTGGTGTCAGTCCCACCATATATTGTGTTTAACCCTTGTATGTCTTTATATGGACCTTTTCCATGGTAAAAAACACTTTAACCTTGTATTGAACAGTCTGTGCTTTTACAATATCCACTTCTACAACTCAATCCACTTTGTTCTTCCATTAAACAACCAAAATTGCAGCTTACCAAGCTTGGATGGTCCATAATGCAACAGTCATCCTTTATGGGGCCTAAACTATAGCCTCTCATTCTTATGAGGACTTGAGATGCATCTTGGATTATGCCTTGATATTCCTTAAGATGGTTGTGAGCTTTTGACATTAATTGGTCATTTCTTCCCTTGAAACCACGAGCCTTCAAGTCCATATAGCCATGAGCCCTAGTGATGTTGTGAGCTCTCAAGTGTTCTTGAGTCTTTTTGTGGCTCAGTTTGATTTGGCCTACCTTGACTCGTACCACTAGACTTAATAAACCTAGGAAAGAGGAAAATAGATTTAAGGAAATCAAAAGTCTTACTTAATGGATTTAGAAAAATAAAAAGTCTTAAAATTAAAATGGCTAACTTAACTTTCAAGAGTAAATAATTCTTGGTGCAAAAAATAACTCTTAGTAATTTGTGCAACCCACTAAATGAAGACCAAAACGTAATTTTTAGCTCAAATTAATGAAGTCCAAGTTTAAATGATTTAGTATATGTATGAAATTCTAGTCGAACTTCTTAGTGGAACAACTTCTTATACTAAGCCCAAGTATCTTTAGACAACCATCATCTTGTATTTGAATGATATTGATAGTTTTTGTGATTAGTTGAAGCCCAACATTATGTCTATAAGACCACTTGATTTTTACTTAGCCCAAATCTCTTGAACAAGCGCAAATAAAACTTCTTTTAGTCTTTTATCATATGTCCTTGAAATAGACCCACTTAAAATGTATAAAGAATCACTTAAAGTATTTGATATAGTTTCTTCCACTTTGTCGCATCACTTAGGTGGCAATAGATGAGGATTAATCATTAGGTTAGCACTGATTATTGACACATGAATAGGCTAGTTGTTAAATGAACACTATAGATACTTGACTCATAGTTAAGCCTTTTATTCACCTTGGTCACATCTTTATTTACCTAAAATCAATAACATACAAGTGATTATAGGTGTCCTAAAGAATGAGACTTTATCAAAAGTTTAATACTCTACAATATTCAATTATTTAAATAGAGAATTCACTTTATGTTTGGATATAATTGTGCTAATATAAATATATGTTTATAATATGTGTAGGTATGGGTTGTGGTTGTTTGTGGTTTAAATCATATGCTGGGTGTCTACTTAATATGATATGAACCGTATATGTTAGATATACATGTATGCATGAGGCTGTATGCTCAATATACCGTATGTGTGCTTGGTATGTATATATATGCATAGTTGGATGTAAATTTTTCTTTTAAAAAATAAAATCTCAATGATGTTTCTTTTTTAGAAATTGGAATATGAAAAAGAAATAACCCTTGAAGAGAAAAAAGCTTACCGGGGATCATAGGAAAGAGTATACGGACTTGGTACATAGAGTGAAACCTACCGTGGATGTGTCCTTAATTGTATGGGACTAAGAAGTCTCATATCGGACAGGGTTGAAAGTTAGTTTAATTACGCTCATACCGAACAGAGTATTGAGACGGTTTATAATCGTGACGTTCATTACCGAACAGGGTATAGGGACGACCGATGAATTGTAAAAGAAATATTTTGTATATTCACGTGTAGCAAGGATCCCTATAGGCATCCAATGATACTAGTAAAGGAAATGGCAATATATAATAGAAATGAAAATTATAAGTAATCTTTGTTTTGGTAAAATGGTATTTATGAACGAAACAAAATTATCTAAATATGAATCCAATATGATCTCATGATATTTATGAATAAGAATGATACGTACAGTATTTAAATATGATTATGTTTAAAATGGGTAATGAAAAGGATGAGGTTTCTTAATTGTTTTCTTAGGTTATATTCTACTATAGTGATGATAAGTATGATTGTCTTTCAAATTAGATTTCTTTAAATATAAGATTTTCATTTTCTTTATCAAATCTATATAATTGTTTATTTATATATCTCCGTCTAGACACTGCTCTATTCTTATTGAGTTTGTAAAGCTCACCCTAATTTATACCTTCTTCCCAACGTAGATTAGTTCAAATCATAAGAAAGTTCAAGATCGAATGAAGACTTTGAAGAAGCTTTTAGCAAATTTAGAAGTTTTGTTGTAAAATATATCTATATATATTATAGTGCTGTAATTTAAAGATCTTTATGAGACTCATGAACGATAACTCTGTACAAGAGATGTAATGTTGACTTATAAATTTTAGCATAATACTGCACAAATAATCAGGTTTTATGTATATAGTAATGCTCTCTTCTTGAAAGAAAATGCAGGACACTACATTTATTCAACTTGGTCACATCTTTGTTTACCCAAAATTAATAACATACAAGTGATTATAAGTGTCCTAAAGTATGTGGCTTTAACATAAGCTTGATATTCTGCAATATTCAATTATTCTAAGAGAGAATTCACTACTAAAAAGTTTATGGCACATATATATATTTATATACATATATAAAAGAACCTAAAAACATTGTGGTAGTCTACCTTTTTTTAATAAATAAATGTAGTTTGCCTACATGGCCATTTCGGTTTCTTGGTGAAAGATAATTATCAGTTATGGATGACTGTTAAATATTCTATTTGGTTACAATTGTGATTGTTGGTCATAAGAACTTACTTCCCCAGTAATTACCAAAAATGGGGGGTTTCTTTCTCCCAACAATTATAGATGTCTTTTATATTTTTTACTAATACAAGCTAAGCATGAACTTGGGATCCCATAATGACATACTTAGTAAATTAATATTTTTTTAGAATAAATATCAAAAAATTTACTCAATTAAGCATGGATATTATTATAATAAAGGAACAAAGAAAGGATGAGGTTCTTATACAATAAAGTGACCATTTAAATTATAAAGAGTTTTTTTAACTATATAAGCCATCTTATTACACCCTCAATGAGTACAATAAATATGAAAATGCATAACATGATTAAGAAAATTAAAATCATTAATAGTAAATCTAATTCTGGGGTATAGAGATGAACGTGAATTTAAGAGATTAACTACTTGTTGTGAGGCTCCCTCTATTTTAACTTGCTTTTGTCCTAGTGTAATAGCTTGTTGTAACTCGTATACCATCGTTTTGACGTCCACTAAGGTTGTAGACAATAATGTAGGAACACAATGTATCCCATCAAGATAATGCCACCAGTATTTTAACTCATAATCATAAGATGTGTTCATATGATCAATCCAATAGAGGCATCACAACTTATTTATATTGTACCTTATGAAGGTAGAACCCAATGTTGATCCATGATGTTACTTTTTTAGTAAAAAAACAAAAAACAAAAGAGTTTAGTTATTTAGAAGTATTTAACTACAAAATATTAAGTTGAAGCTTTTGAATATATGTGTTGGATCCGTTTTTCAGCATGTATTCACTAATTCCCACCCCACCAAATATGCCAGTGAACATATAAAAACCAAGTGACAACTTTAAAGTTACCTATAAAGAGGTTGGCCCAAATCTTATCATGGAAAACTATTACGTCAAGCAGATAACTGAAGTGTGGTCATCTTCTAAATTTTTTTTTTTCTACCATAATCACATCTTAAAACAGATGATCTACATGTTTTTGGCTTTTTTACACATAGAAAAAAACTAAATCTACCCTAATACCCTTATGTTTTACGTGGACCATCAAGGACACGATATCTTTAATCACTCGCCACATTAAATATTTTACATGACAAATTTATCGAGTATTCTTATGATTATTTCACCAAGCAATATGATAACATAATTTTATCAACTATTCTTTGTTTTGTTCTCAGTTCCATGTAAGTTTATCTGCGGGACAACCTGCTACTTAAAGGGCTATTAATAATTTCAGTTGCTTCATAGTGGTAATGATAAACCATATACCAAATTCTTGTTAAACATAGTTATATATTTTTGTAATATAATTATAAAATATGAATAAGATAAGTTATGTTTTTATGTATTGAAAATGAATTAAAGTTTTGCATATTATTATCTAAACATGTTTTTTTTAAAAAAAAAAACAAAAGAAAAGAAAACCAGCGGTCAATTTATTCTTAGTCGAATTTTTTGGGACTAAATTAATTATAATCCTGAAATAAATAAATAAATAAATAAATCAAAAGTTATATTTTTGTATTATATATATATATATGTATATTTATAGTCAACTAGAAGTCATATACAGTAAAACTTTGTTTCGGTCAGGTAACGAGAAAAGCAAAGACAGCATTTTGGGTTAGGAAGCAGATTCTATCATTATTTGATGGCTTCTATTAAAAATAGTTATTGATTCGATGTTCGATGGATTGCGAGAAATAATTGAAACCAATTATTTTTAATTTAATGGTCGTTTCTACTCTTCTTTATATATTATTTTGTTTTAATATAAACACATTCTTTTATTTTTACATTTTTCTTCTAAATGTAATAATTAGTAAAACAAAATAATTTCCGGAAAAACAAACAAAGTGTTATGTCATCCTAAGGAGAAAATTGTAAATTTAATTTCAAGAAATTAAAAAAATTATTAAAAAGAAGACTAATTTGTTTGTAATTTAATATCTTAGAAAATACAGATATAAAACTTTAATTACTTTTTAAAAATTAATAAAATATTATGTACTCAGAATTGGACTACCATTTGAGCTTTTACTCCATTTATGTTAAATCTATTTTGAGGATGAGAGTGAGAGAGGAACACCTCGAGTAACTGTATTAACTACCTACCATAATTATTTATATATGTATATATTTGAAACAGAGGGATTCAATATTTTTCTTTTGAAATTTCTTTTTTTTTTTAAAAAGGAAACTTAAAATGACAAAAGACTCGAAATTATAGAAATGTCGTTATGGGTAAAGAGAGATTCCAAAATCAAAACTTTAAGATGCAGCCACCCGAAAACTCTCCAAATTTAACAATCCTTCTCTGCACCTTCCATGTTCTCTTCTGTACTTTTCTTCCTCTCCTTCTTCTTCTCCTTCTTCTTCTTCCGCTTCTTCTCTGCAATTCTCACACTGAAATTCCCCTTCCATTTCCGAAATTTTGAAAAGGCTGAGACGAAGGCGGCCATCGCTCCGCTGTGCTTGAAAGCAACTATGTTTGACTGGACTCGCGATGGCTTTTATCAAAAGCCTTCCGTCTTCCCTGTGAGCCCTAATTCGAAGACATTCTGGTCCTCTTATTGTTGTCAGAGGTGGTGGAAAGCTCGGCAGTGTTTTTGATTGACCCAATCTTTTTGATTTCTCTCTTATCGGAATTGTCTTCGTCTTCTCCATCGTCCAGCATTCGCTCATCGTTTCCTCACTCCCTGTCTCGTTTCCTAAATTTTCAGTGCACATTTCCAAGCTCTTTTCACTCATAGGATGAACAGATTGAGAATTGGAGCTTTCATCCTTTTCCGTCTTCTGTTTGGATCCGATGGAAAGAGCTTCGAGAAAACTCCAACCCGTTTCCTCACCGGCGGATTCGGATTTGGAAATAGAATCAAATTCGGAATTGGAATTTGAATTATCATCTGCAGAATCAAAGAAAAAGGATTTGAACGAGAATTCAAGTGGTTTGAGAAGACAGTGAAGCCTGCGGGAGGACGAGGAAAGTTTGAGCAGTCTGAGAGCTCTTGGCTCTGTTA